TCTATGGTTTTATCGTTAGTTTACCGACCTTGGGTGAGCTGGTGTCAAATTATGAAGTTATAACAGAAATATTACTATCATAAACGACCCACCAACAACAAACGAGTTTGTCAGTGGTTTCCAACCTTTTGTAGGCTCTAGGCCACATTTGTCATTTTAAATATAGTGAAGGGCGCCAAAACTTTGGATTTACCTGTACAATCAAGAGAAAAATACCATATAATGTACAGTTATTTACAGCTTTACACCTAACTGTAACTAGTTACATGCTTTTTACATTTACTCTTGGAATAAATATTCTTAAAACCATAAAACGATAAACATATAATTTCCCTTTAGTGAGAAGGTTGGCTCTCTTTGGGCCCAGTTTGGGTTCAATACACACGTCCTGTACACTACAGACTCGGGAGAAATGTGCGGTTCTCTCTCTCTCTCTCTCTCTCTCTCTCTCTCTCTCTCTCTCTCTCTCACTATAAAGTCGTATCACGTTATTACATATTTTCATTAATTTCACTTTGAGACAAAGAATTCCAAGTATTTCACAAGTTTCTAATAAACTCTTGTGGGCTCCATAATATGGTTCCGCGGATGTCCGAACTACAGGCTGGGGACAACTGGTGTTCTTGTTGTTGTGTCTGTGAATATAAATTTGGATGCTAACAAAATATCTTGAGAAGTCAATTAAAGACTATATATATATAAGATTCTACCTTGGATCCTTGAAGTCCAGCAGCCGAGTGAATACAATGCTTATAACTTTAGTTCTAATACACTTCTCTGGCAACTGTATAAACCCTCGCCCTCTATCGGACTGTCAACTCTCCCTTATCTTTAATAAGACAGAAGGACGCTGAAACATAAAATGAAATTTATGGTTGTGATTTTTTATTGACTATTTCTGAGAGAAAGAATCTTAGCAAAATTAATAGTTTTTTTCTTAGATCAAGCGAATTTGCTGTTACTGACTGTATTAACGCTTATCAGTATAAAACAAGATGAGACCCGCGTCGTTTCCGTCCTGACTAAGGATATTATTACTAGGGACAACCCAACGACGCACCTAACAACGAGACATTGAAACTGTTGAACGGGATACGGCAGTTTGTTTTCTAATTTGCATTTATCAGCATGAAAGTAGAGTAAGTGATGCTTCAGACAATCACCAACCAGTATAATTCTCTCGCCAACCAGTATAGTTTTCCAGCCAACCGTTACCTAAAATTGCCAGTCTGATGATATATCGCAATTACGATAAAAAACAGAATCGTCGTTAAAACTTTAAGTAAAATAATTTTAAATTATTTTACTACATTATAAAAAATTCTAAACTTTAAATTTTTATTGATATTACATACTAGGAAAGCTTTTAAGAGACAAGAATCTGTAGCCTATATGCGAGTAGATTTGTGTGTGTTGTCTTCTGAGCTGGAATGAACATTCGTCTCTCACCTTAAAGAGGAAATTTACCTAAATTAAGAATAGAGAATTTATAACGACGGTGGTACCCCTTGAACTTGTCCCCGATATCTGCTTCCTGCCACACTTCAGCTCACATCCCCCCATTCTACCGTCATCCAAAATACCCCCAGGCGCATCCTACCCTCCTTGGGCCACCTGGCTGTCCAACTGAAGATGTCAACTCAGCTTTGTGTGCACTTATGTTCAAGACGATGACGCAACAGAATGATTATATTGTCGTATGTATATGACTAAATTAAGTTAATGCTAGGCATATTTCGATTTCTGTTAACACGTGAGAATTACTCAACATTTTGCTTTGTATCTACATCTATGTTGATATTTTGGGGGAAAACTGACCTTACACGCTGTACCTAAATGTGCATTTGCACTGATATTTCTGGGATTGTATGTATGCCTGTACCCAAGTCAATATCAATGAGGTTTCATATCTGAATAAATTATATTACTTTGTGTGAGTATGACTGACAGGACGGTAGGCTTGGGAGTTTGAAAGATTCACGACTCTCTCCTCCCCGCACATCCATTTTAGTTCCACTATTAGAGGGAAATAGCTTTTATTTCGACTCTAATTGCTTTGAAATTCTTAAATCCTAGACATTTTTTTACGAAATTCTAGTATTTAAACCACTCTTGACGTACAGTATTGTGTCCAAGAGACGGTTGATGGCGACACTATTATTTTTATTTAGTGAACTGCATTGTTTATATCAGTGGTCCCTGCTGTCACACCATATTAACGCATGGAAACAAACTAGTTACGTGTGGTTAATTTAAATTATTTTTAGTAACTTCATTATAATGTGCTATTTATTTTATATGATACTGAAATTAAGAGGATGTTTCCGTATGTAATCTATCATAACTGGTAGATCCATAAAGTAAGCTCTCATAAACACAATACCACATACTCTTAATCTAATAGTGACGGCAATTTACCTTAAAATATCAGTGACACAAATTGGAGAGTTGTAATTTGTCGCCACTAATTCAAAACCAAGGTAATTCTGGCAGAAAGTGAGGGCCACCCTCACCAAAAGGAAGCTTCTCTCCCCCTCCATCCACAATTCCAATGAACCTACAGGGCTGCAGGAGGTAGGTGAAGGTGACGATTGGTGCCCAGGAGAAAGTGCCATGTTGGTATGCCATGCCAGGCCGCGTCTTTAGTGCCTCGCTTCCTTCTCTGACCCTAGTTGGCTCACTACCCGCTCAAGCGCCCGTCTCCCGCCTGTTTCACTCTCTCACCTGCGAGCTATGTGTGTGTGTGTGTGTGTGTACTGTATGTGTGTGAACTGGTATAACGGAGAAGCAATACATACCTGAGTCACTTACCTATTTTAACCTTTCATCAGCTATTTGTTGTCATTATTATCCTGCCTCCGACATACTCTGATCTTCTCTAAGAAATATCTATTGTCTTCTTTCCAAGTCTGACTTTTCTTTTCAGAATTATTTTGCTAGTTTGTCGTCATTGACACCAAATGACACACTTTAACATCACATATTGAGACAAGTCCTGAGCCTTTGATGTCCTCACCTTGATCTTCTTTATTCTCTTCGCCTCGTGGTACAAAAGTCTCAGTGAGGATCAACTTTTCTCTCTATCTCTTAGCCTTCTCGCGTTTTCTTCCTTTCAGAATATTTTTTGTGGCAACATTTCAGCCTTTTCTTTTTTTTAATTCTACGAAAATAATAAATCAAATTCATCCACATGCTGATTTTGAGTCCAAACAGACCATACCTAAGGGTTGTTGGGCAGATGACATGTTTACCGCGGGAATATACAGAATACTAATTTCTTTACCTTTCAGTTTTGTTCCATTAGTTATGATAACATTTAATTTCATGATAAATTTATATTAAATCAGTGAATTACTTACAAGGTAAAAATATTAGATAATATTTTTCATAAGTTTATTTCATCAGATGAGATACAATTGTGCACAAATACTATAATTATATACTTACATTTATAGGTATCAATTAGATATTCTAGAAATTCAGTACATTTGCAGACTCTTCTTCATGGTCTTGTATTTGGTCAGCGAACGAATAAAGTGTACAAGTATACATGTAAAGTTATATCTATTCTCCGTCTGAGTTGGTAAAAGAAAAATTCAGGAAACTCTTAGTGTCCTTCACTATACAGTACATGACAACCGTGACGAGTCTAGAGTCCACCAACAGAGTGCTGAAGGACGAATGGATGGACTTACTGACATATGAACGAATGGGCTAACTGGTTGAACTCAAGGTAAACACCAGCCACCTTCAGCATGTAACCTCTACAGTAGGAACACTTTAATAAATACACCATAGCCTCCCTCCTTCACTCGACGTCTCACATACACACGTCCTTTGTCTTGTGGGGTTAACCATGTTTGAAATGCCATAGAAAGATATGTTTTGATTTAAATCATACTTGGGATAGTATGAGTATTAACACAAGCCCAATTACCTTCAAGCTCACACACGTAAACCATGATTGAGAGTTTGCTATGTTATAAGACGTAACCATAAGTATACGTGATGAAAACTAAGCAGCTGAGTAATAATCTACATCAAACTACAGGAGCTCAGGTTACGGTGGGTACATCAACAGTACAGCTAGAGTCAGTAAACGTATCTACTGTGAATAAATATATGGTGCAATTTACAGCCCTAAGTCCAATAAAGATCTAAATACAATGTGATCTAAATAAAACAAAGTTCTGCATTGCTGTTCTATTTGTTAAGAGTTTTCAAGGCGGGAAATATGGAGGCGCACCGCAGTGTATCTGTGGCTACGTAAATGGTCCACGTTCCAAGGTCGGCGCCCGGCGTGGTGGCACAGTCAGCGAGCACAGTGCTCAGTGCCACCCGCTGGATTCACAATTGGTGCCAACTGTTAACATTCAGCTCGTGCCATCCCCGCAACGAATAATTCTGATGTTCTGCAGAATTTCTGACCTGCGATAATTTGGTGAGGGGAGCGGGAAACATGCTTGGGGCATTATGTGGGCATATGGTTAGCCTAGGATGTAAAGTTATGTCCACACCAGACTTGAGAATTGATGAGATTGCTGGATGGGTTGACGGTGTATGCAACGGGCCAAGGTTAAATCTTTTGCAACGACCAGAAATTTCACTCGGCATTAGACTTACCTAGTTGGGGTCTTTCGCGTGTGCCAAACATATATACAGTGTCATGAACTGCCACTGTGTAAAACAACCAAGTGTCAGTCACTTTTTTCTAGTAATTCTGAAAGTGTCAGGATGCCATTCTCTCCAAGAAGTGGACAGTTAATCAACTGTGATTGGTAAGGGAGAGAGGGAGGGAGGGAGGGTTGTGAAACATTAACATCATGGATCTTGTGATGAATGAAGTTAAATCTGCCGAACCTATTTCAATCATAATGAATCTGCTTTTTATATTTGATTTATAGTTTCAAATCCTTACTAAATGAATAATAAATAAAGAGTATGTTGCAGAGTAAATTAATTGAGTTCGAACATAATATATTAAACTAAAGATCAAGCGATTATCTTTGGACAAGAAAAATGACTGAGAGTGAGAGTGCGAGGAGGACATGAGTCAGGCTGGGGTCAGTGCATCCCGACTTTCGTATGACTTCGGCTTCTGCTTCATCGTGAGCAATATCTGCATCAGAACGGAAGTCGTCGGCCGGCACCTCTGGTAGCGTGTCCGGACGCCGTGGAAGCGGGGCGCGTGGGAAAGCCTGTGACGTCACTGGGACACTGGGGATTGGCTGACTTGACGGTGACGTCAAAGGGAAGGGCGGGAGTGGATCACTGAGTGGTGATGTCACGGGTAAGCATGGCACTGACTCACTCATTGGTGACGTCATGGAGTCGTCTGTCTGGCGGGGTGCTGTGAGTGGCGTGATGGAGGGGAGGTGGTCCAGGTCAGAGTCAGGGAGCGGTGACGTTACTGGCTGGTCTCCTGCAGTCACAACAACAGTCACGGGGGAGCTGGAGGCCTGAGGTGGAATGGTAGTTCGTTTCATTTCCGCACTCACACTCTCCCCACCATGCCAATTATCATCATTCAGTGCAGCTACAGTATACTGTATCACAACAAATCATCACTATATATCAGATTCCAACTACGTGCAGTAGTCGAGCAAGACAGTAAAGCATTTATGTTTAGGTTTGTATGGTCTACTGGTTGGTAGGATGGGAGGACAGCAGGCTTACGGGGCAATTAGGCTCAGATTAGGCCTAAAGAGCATACTAAGCCTACTATGGAAGGCTTACACGCTGTAGGGGGCCAGCGAAGACACACGCCACCGGCAGCGGGAAATCGAACAGGAAGGGACGAGGCTGAGGGTCCCTGGGCTGGAGGGCGATAAGGGGACGTGGCTTCAGTAAGGGCCGGCAACCCTGGGCACGAGCACGTCCGCTGTGGGGACACAAGGTTAGGTGACATTAATGGCAATACACAGATAGAGAAAGAGAGATCACGAACAAAAATATAAATAACATCAGCAGCACCTGTCGTCTTCCTACCTGCAGGTGGTGACGGTGACGGGCTGGGTGAAAGGCGGCGTCTGCATAATGACGAACCAACTGCCCAGGACATCTCGTGACCAGCTGAGTTCTACTGTCTTCTGCACGCTCTCACACTCCACACTGTATGACAACCCAGAGACTTAATAATAATAATAATAATAATAATAATAATAATAATAATAATAATAATAATAATAATAATAATAATAATAATAATAATAACTACCTGTTCTCTTTACATATGTGTAATTCCTCCTTCACTAGTGGTATCTTTCCTCACAAACTGAAAATCGCTAAGGTTTACCCAGTATATAAAAAAATCTGGTAATAAGGTATTTTCAAGAATTACCACCCCATATCAGTCCTCCCTGCCTTGGTTTACCTCATATCTGTCTAACAGGAAGCAGTATGTCGCTATAATAATCATCAATCTGACTCCTCACCAATTTTTTATGGCGTCCCTCAATGCTTCAATCTCGGTCCAGTACTGTTTTTGTTGTACAAAAACAATATAGTCCACTCCAGCACACTCGTAAGATCCAACTTATTTGCAGGCGATAGTAATCTCTATGCCAGTCACTCAGACCTCCATTCCTTGATGAGAACTATGAACACTGGTTTGACTAAAGTCAGGACCTGGGTAATATGTAATAAACTGACCTTAAACCTCGAAAAAACCCACTACACAATCTTTCACAGAAGGCAAAACTTACCCCCTTTTCTGGACCCCCTGTACCTTGGTAATACAGTCCTCAAACATGAACAAAATACTAAATTCCTTGGCGTTATTGTTGATGAGAAACTAAACTGGAGAAACCACAAACAAGTCATTCACAGTAAAGTCAATAAACAGTGCGGTATCCTGTATCACACTCACCAGTCACTCACTCTTGCAGCAATGAAAGAAATCTATTATGATCATGTTTACCAACACTTATCTCAGCCATGTCAATATTGTCATTATTGTCCATTCTGTATCTGTATTTTTCTGGCTAATTAAACTGTTTCAACTATAAACTACTACTACTACTACTTTTTTTATCATGGCCTCCATCCTCCCCTAATAGCCTTACCTTCGCCGCCACTTTATTACCTTAAAATTAAATATCGTAATACATAAGTAGCTATCCTAGCTGTGTTGAGTTAGTTGAGCCGCAGATCTATGCGGCATTCAGTGACTGTTGCCTCATAGTCAACTACTACTACTACTACTAATAATAATAATAGTAATAATAATAATAAACAGTTTATTGAAAGAACATGGCAGTTAAGGGCTGAAAATATACAACAAAAAGAGATGATAAAAGTTACACGTGATGAAATTAGGGGATTGGGTCACTTGATTGACAGAACCTTTCAGTGCAAAATGAGAAGAAACATTGAGTGAACACACAAATTAACTACAGATCTGGACGTAATCTCTGTGGCTATAGCCTATAGTGGCTCTTGTGTGTGTGTCGAGAGAGAGAGAGAGAGAGAGAGAGAGAGAGAGAGAGAGAGAGAGAGAGAGAGAGAGAGAGCTGATGAAGTATGGTGCAAGTGGTAACAAGTACTGACCCGGTGTCGACAGTAGGAAGTTGGGAGGTGGCGGCGGACAGATCAAGTGGGGGATGAGGCAGCTGCGCCAACACGGTCTGGATCTCTGTGAGCTCCTCCTCGTACTTTCTGGCCAGGGACGAGGCCAGTTCACTGAAGGATGACAAGTTGGTTATCACTGACAATATCGATACTGACTGCAATAATTGACTTACTGTTTACCACTGTTTACCTCCCTGAGACTGTGTATCTGTGTTCAAGCTGAAATAAGGTGAACTTATATGGCGATTTCACCGAGGATCTTGAAATCTAATAGGGAGAAATTGGTTGTAATCATCAATTGTTTGTGTTTAACTAATTTAATGAAACAATTTTAAAATCATAAGACAAAATGGCAAAGGAAATATAATTATATACAGTGGGAGCCGTGTAGGCATCCTAAGTACACCTACCTCGGGTAACCCACCGGCATGATGCAAAAAGATCTGTTGGTGGGGTTAGTAGCGCAGCTCGGGGCCTCCCTCAAGTACGCAGGCAGTTTGGCTAGGTCCTCCGCTGTCACCTGACTCGGGGAATTACCTGTATGAAGAGACGAACCTGAAGACGGAGACAAAGAGCACAACTTATCATTTTATTGCCAAGGCGCGAGGGAGGGTGGTGCATGACTACGAATTCGAGACACGACACAGCGTAGTTTTCGTGCCAAGGCTGACGTGTTCACTGCCAGATACAAGTCACAACAAATGAGTGAGTGTAATCAGGTTAAACATAGAAGAAAAGACATGTACTATACAGGGAGAGAAGACATGTACAGGGAGAGAAGACATGTACAGGGAGAGAAGACATGTATAGGGAGAGAAGACATGTACAGGGAGAGAAGACATGTACAGGGAGAGAAGACATGTACAGGGAGAGAAGACATGTACAGGGAGAGAAGACATGTACAGGGAGAGAAGACATATACAGGGAGAGAAGACATGTACTGGGAGAGAAGACATGTTCAGGGAGAGAAGACATGTTCAGGGAGAGAAGACATGTACAGGGAAAGAAGACATATACTGGGAGAGAAGACATGTACAGGGAAAGAAGACATGTACAGGGACAGAAGACATGTACAGGGAAAGAAGACATATACAGGGAGAGAAGACATATACAGGGAGAGAAGACATGTACAGGGAGAGAAGACATGTACAGGGAGAGAAGACATATACAGGGAGAGAAGACATGTACAGGGAGAGGTGTCAAGAGTTTAGGGCAACACAGTAAGGTAAGGTGAGGTAAACTCGTAACACAGGCAAGTAGGTCAGTGTTAGTGAGTCGTGGTCATGAAAGAACAGGTAAGGTTGGTTTGCTGTGTGTGTGTGTGTGTGTGTGTGTGTGTGTGTGTGTGTGTTGTGTGTGTGTGTGTGTGTGTGTGTGTGTGTGTGTGTGTGTGTGTGTGTGTGTGTGTGTGTGTGTGTGCCAAGATCTGCTTCACAAGAGATACCTTACTTTAAATAAGCCGAGAAAAGGTCACTAGCCACGTCAAGGTGAGGGTGTGGCAGCCCTTGATAAACTAGTCATCTATGTCAGTCAGCCTTAACAGCTGAGTACTCTACCCCAGGTGATAATCCACTTTATATGTGATTATCTGCCTTTTAAAGAAATGGAAATATGTCAAGCTATTAAGTATTTATTTGCCTGGAGTATAAACTGACGTAAGTGCAACATAAAAATAAATCTATTTCAACATGAGGTCATCTTATTATTTTTAGTATGGTAAATTGTAGTGACGTGTATACAGGGCTTCCCGTATGTAAAACTCGAGTTTATTGTAAATAAACTTTAATAAATATTAGTTTTACTGTCCTTGGAATATGATGTTTTCTTCTTGTACATTTGATTTTCTTTTTAAAGATTCATTCACATTTAAGTCTCATTCAAGGCCCCACCTGTATGGTCAAAACATAAGACATTACTGTATTTGTTTTGCTGTATTGTTTCTAGATTTAAGGATCACCTGAAGAATCACCACCCCAGCTTATTTCACAGAAACATTAACCATCCTAACACTATTTGAGGAGACAAGGTTAGGTTGGGTTAGGTTAGGTTAATGATATGAAAAATCTACCTGTAAAACTTGTTGGTCCTGTTAATCCCTGAGGTTCTCGGAGCCCTTGTGGCGAGAGTGGGAGTGGAAGACCGTCTCCTCCCACCAGCTGAGGCACAGGGGGCTTCCTCTCACCCAGTGTGTCTACCTGGGAGTCCTGCAACAGGGAGGAGGGCGGCGGGAGGGTCAAGTGAGGTCGATGCGTTGCTGAGTTCAGTGGAGGAAGTTCCTGTGGGAAGATAAGGTTGGGATTTACATGCTGAGGAGTCTAACAGTCAATGGACTTCAAGATGGTGTAAATAACGTCCTTCAAGATGGTGTAAATAACGTGACTCAAGATGGTGTAACTAACGTGCTTCAAGATGGTGTAAATAACGTCCTTCAAGATGGTGTAAATACCGTCCTTCAATAAAGTGTAAATAACGTCCTTCAAGATGGTGTAAATACCGTCCTTCAAGATGGTGTAAATAACGTCCTTCAATATAGTGTAAATAACGTCCTTCAAGATGGTGTAAATAACGTCCTTCAAGATGGTGTTAATACCGTCCTTCAAAATGGTGTAAATAACGTCCTTCAATATAGTGTAAATAACGTCATTCAAGATGGTGTTAATACCGTCCTTCAAGATGGTGTTAATACCGTCTTATAAGATGGTGTAAATAACGTGACTCAAGATGGTGTAAATACCGTCCTTCAATATAGTGTAAATAACGTCCTTCAAGATGGTGTAAATAACGTCCTTCAAGATGGTGTAAATAACGTAACTCAAGATGGTGTAAATATCGTGCTTCAAGATGGTGTAAATAACGTAACTCAAGATGGTGTAAATACCGTCCTTCAAGATGGTGTAAATAACGTGCCTTAAGATGGTGTAAATATCGTCCTTCAAGATGGTGTAAATAACGTAACTCAAGATGGTGTAAATATCGTCCTTCAAGATGGTGTAAATAACGTGCCTCAAGATGGTGTAAATATCGTCCTTCAAGATGGTGTAAATAACGTAACTCAAGATGGTGTAAATATCGTGCTTCAAGATGGTGTAAATAACGTAACTCAAGATGGTGTAAATATCGTGCTTCAAGATGGTGTAAATAACGTGACTCAAGATGGTGTAAATAACGTCCTTCAAGATGGTGTAAATAACGTGACTCAAGATGGTGTAAATAACGTCCTTCAAGATGGTGTAAATAACGTGACTCAAGATGGTGTAAATAACGTCCTTCAAGATGGTGTAAATAACGTGACTCAAGATGGTGTAAATATCGTGCTTCAAGATGGTGTAAATAACGTGACTCAAGATGGTGTAAATACTGTGCTTCAATATGGTGTAAATAACGTGACTCAAGATGGTGTAAATAACGTGACTCAAGATGGTGTAAATATCGTGCTTCAAGATGGTGTAAATAACGTGACTCAAGATGGTGTAAATACTGTGCTTCAATATGGTGTAAATAACGTGACTCAAGATGGTGTAAATATCTTGCTTCAAGATGGTGTAAATAACGTGCTTCAAGATGGTGTTACATGTAGTGGCGCCAAGTAATTGATAAACCAGGTTGCTAATCTGACTTTCTACCTCATTTACTTACAATTGCAGGGCTTCAATTGTTTCTCTTACTTGGACAATACTATTTATCACTATTTATCTTATTTTTTTTTAAATTGTTGTATTTATTTATGGGCCTTTGCTATTAATTATTATTATTATTATTATTATTATTATTATTATTATTATTATTATTGTTGTTGTTGTTGTTGTTGTTGTTGTTGTTGTTGTTGTTGTTATTATTATTATTATTACTTTTATCATTATTATTATTATTATTATTATTATTATTATTATTATTATTATTATTATTACTTTTATCATTATTATTATTATTATTATTATTATTATTATTATTATTATTATTATTATTATTATTATTATTATTATATTTTCGCCCCCAGGCCCTGATGTGGGTCATTGGCCTGTGCCCTGGTGGGCTAATCCCATAAAAAAGGACCAAATTAGAAGACAGTACTTATATTCTATTCACATTTAAGTAACTATATTAACAAATTCTCAACAAAATAATTCAATAGTTTAATAATACCCAAAATTCAGCACTTTTAGCATGTACAGTTGCGGCTGGATCTGGCATGGAAGGACCTGAGGATCATTAGTTGAGGAAGACTGGAATTTTAGTATATTTTCTCAGATTTTTCTAGGTATAGTATTAATTTTTTGTGGTTCCAACATAATTTGTGAGGAAAATCAGCATTCTTAGATGTAAACCAACCATATACTCGGACAGTACATGTCCGCAACTGTACATAAAATTCACTCCAAACAATGTGTTCTAGATTATGGCTACTTAAGTCATATTCTTATCATTCACAAGGTAAGCTTAATGTAATCGGTGCTAAACCTTTGAACGTTTTAGGATTTAATGTGGAAGAAATTGGTTATCACACAATGGTGATAAGAGCGCCGTGAAATGTGTGCTGGGAAACAATGGCATTCCTCAGCGGGTGTTTATTGCCAATGTACAGTACAGTAGAGTAACGTTTCCTCGTAAGCATTTGTGTATCTTGTTAATCTTCTTATGGGATATTACTTATTATATTGTAACTTTATCATTATATATATTTTTTTAATATTGATTTTTTTCGAAATCATTTTCTTTGTTTGGCTTTCACCCTCCCTGAAGTTTTTGTTTCGCTTTATTTATTTTTATTTTTTTTGCGTCGTTTCTCAAAATAATCGTCTCGTTCTTCTTGGCTTCAGCAGCAGATACGCGAAGACCACCACAGGTAACTCGCTGGATGACCTACGCTTATAGTCTATCATTATAAAACGTATTCACATCACCACAAAGTCAATTTCGACAACATGGGGCTATTGCCAGAGTTAAAATCGTATATTCTATCTATAAAATGAGCAAGAAGTCCTTTGTATGTGACAGAGGTGAACAGGTGAAGTAACACAGGTGGGGCTCCATCTTACCACCTGGATAAAAGTAAAGTTCCCTCATTTGAAACTCCAGGTGAGGAGGAGGAAGCTTTATGAGCCTCCGGTGATATGGAGGGAGATGTACAGTATGTTGTTACCCTCGTTCGTCCTCCCGCTAGTCCTCATTGGCACCCTCGCCTGATTGTAACTCAGCTAATTTTTCTGAGGTTGTTTATCGTACAATAGTGATGTACTCCATTTAATCCTACCTGACCTTACTTACGTTGACGTTAATAAACGGTGTACTTAGATCGGTAACAGTTTTAGTTCTACTAATTAACGGTAATTTGTATATTCGTTCTGACAATGAGAACTTACATAATACAGGAGTTCTTGTATGCTTGTAGTGAACCCAATGGTGATCAAATATAGTTTACTTGCTTCCATATTAAACTGAAACCAGAAGGAAAAAGACTGTGTTTGGGAGGAATGATGCCTCAGCTGCACACCCCCCAGATCAGGGGTTTTCAAACTATGGGTCCCGACCCTTCAGTGGATCGCGAAATAAATAAATTGGGTCGCAAATTAAAAATGGGTCGCGAAAATGAATAAGAAAAAATTAAAATGGGTCGCGAAAATAAATAAAAAAATAAAAATAAATGCACCATAATTTAGGCTTGGTTATTGTAATGTACACTCCACAGTCTAGGAAGCGACTGCAAGGAGAGCATTCCTGATTCTTTCTTTACCTCTCATGTCATCCGTTTTGCGCAGAAAAACTCGTAATCGTAGTTTTTCCCCCGTAATCATGAGAAATTTACATGAATTTTGTCGATGCTAAATAGAGGAAAATTGTGAACAGTGTTTGTCTTTGATTTACTCATTTCATATCAATACACTTAGGTTTAATGGGTCGCAATTCAAATTGTTGTTCTGGCTGTGGGTCGCAGTAAAAAAAGTTTGAAAAACACTGCCCTAGATGGCCTGTGACTTTAATGACCTTGGTCAGCTGTGCCCAGTCAAGGTCAAAAGAAAATACACCCAACACATCTACCGTACTCCACCTGTTCACCGTTGTTCCTATCTTTAGTGCAAGTCCATCAGTTAATATTGGGCGGTTTCCACAAAGTTGCAGCCATTAGCATAATAAACTGACAGCCCAGGATAGTCTCCCGATACCAAGTTGAACATAACTAACCATAAGGCGGACACTGTATCCTACTGTACTGTAGATGACTGGTCACGCAGGCTCAATGTATAAGACATATTCTCCCTTCCAAGTCGATCACAGGCGTTAGGAAAACAGTAGATGGGGTTTTTGATACGTTCTCAGGACTAATCGTACAGAGCAGGTAAAACAAGATAAAACCCTTCCTTCTCGACTCCCAGCTAAGTGTAGGAGAGGCGCATTCCATGCTTCATAAAACTAGAAAGACAAGGTATTAATAAGCTAACCAGTAGAGTGATGTCAAAGTGAAGAAGCTATATTTTTAGGCGTAACTTCAACCTGTAACTACTGTACAGGGCCTACCCGGAGCTCCACCAACCTTGTTTATTCTCGGCCACGTCTTCGCGCTCCAGAGATTTCATTCACGACGCTGTGCTGAAATAACTTCTGAAATTTCTTTTTTAAGTTTTCGTAATTAGTTTTATGACCCAAAGTCGCGCCTGTTTTTGTATTTACCGGAGTAGAATTTAATCTCAACTTGATCCAGCGTCAAGACACCCTTATTAACTCGACAGACATGGAACACGACCCCGCCATTAATTCCTCACACGGCCACCACAGCCTTGTGTTGGTGCTTATGAGGCTGTTGTTGTATAAGCTACCATCTCGTCTCCACCTGTTCTGGTTGTTGGTTTCCTTTCTGAATCACCTGAAGAATCCACCCCAATTTATTTCACCTAAAAATTAACCACCCTAACACTATTTGGAGGGACAAGGCTAGGTTAGGTTCGGTTATTTTGATTAAACTTTAGTTGAAATAAGCCTTTTCTTTAAATCATCACGTTAAGATAATGTAGGCTCCAGAAAAACGTAACCAAAGACAAATAACATAACTATTATTTCAGGTGACTTATAGTGTCGTCATCTGCACCGATAGTTGTGTAACACTGTAACTTGTGGTGCTCTTTGTTAAGGCAGTGAACACGACTACATGGTCTGGTCTGGTCTGGTTATAACTCTCCCTAATAATGTGCCTCACTGTTTAGGTTTGTCGACGTTTGCCTTTACCTAACATTTACCTCCTGTCCTCGGTGCCTTCACACTACACTAACCTAACTTAACTTTA